TGTAGGTGATCCTCTAGCCAGTTAGTCTGGACGCATCAGCATTTAGGCTCGGGCTATCATATTTAGTATTCCACTTGGCTACTCTGTTGTGTTCTTCTCTGGTCTTGCACTCATGGGTATATTACAAGTAGGAATAATTAGTGATTGACCTTTGTCAAGTTCACGTAACACCAATCCCCAAATGATGAAAATCCAATCATCTGTGTTGTTTACATACGTGCTAATATTACATTATTTCGGTTGTTCTGTTCCAACAAAAAATTGTACATTACTGAAATAGAAACACTATTTCAAGTAATTACTTGGTGCCTCTTGAGCTTCAAGGTTTGTGCTTCGTGTAGTAATGAGATATTTTTAAGTTGCATGGATATCTATAAACGATTGGCTGTTGGGTATGAGTGACCTATCCTTCTTTCTTATCAGAGGTGACCTTAATTTCTGTTGTCTTTGATGTAGGCTGTTGACGTGACTTCAGATTTGCTTCATTGGTTACTAGCTATCTAAACCCTCCATAGAAGTCCGTGTAATAGGTCAGTGTCCATGTGTCTGTCGACTACTATTTGATTGGAGTACCACACCTCCAGGAACTCTCAATTTTTGAGCTTGCTTGTAGTATTTTTAATTTGTCTCAATCGAAGTTGTGATTGTGTTCATCCGCATTCATCGATGTAAATGAGAATATTGTTGGTTGACTGAAAGTTGATGTTCAATTCTTTGGCCTATTCGACTACCGGATAGGCCAAGATCGTGATATTAAGTCTTTGGAACTAATTTATTAGACTGTATTCATCTTTTCTTCTTGGGATTTAGTTGGTTTGTTTGTCACACTGATAATGAATGTATGAAGCAATCGGTTGATAATTTCTTAGACATTTTTTATATATGGTAAATTGATTCGCTTCGTAAGTTAAGGTAACTGTTCTGACAAGCGTTCTGTTGGTAATCATTAACTGATGAAGTTGACTGAATAGTCATTGGCTCTGAACACTTTATAAAGGTGGTTTTCCTCTGATTTCCGCAGTTGTTGAGTGCAGCAATGAGCCTTGTCAAGTGAGATTTCCTAGATTGTTTGTTAGCCTCTTTCGTTTTCTTTGTCACAGCACTTTGGTTGTTTGTTGTGTTAATTTGCCTTGGTAAATAATTCTTTGCATGTAAATATATTTCTTTTGGTATTGACTGCTTTCGGTTCATCACAGTTCATGTCTAAGTAGGAATGCTATCATTCACTGCACAATACTGACATGCTCAATTAGCAGTGCTTGTTAACCAGATGTAAATGGCATAAACACTGAACAGTTATACTTTTCGTTTGGCGTTAAACTTTTCTGACGGGTACCTGAAATTACTCAATATCTTATTATTAGAAGAATCTTCAGATAAATTCCTGTAGATGATCATAAA